ATTTCACCACGAATAATTTTATACCAAATTTAACAATTTATACAGCCTGTACCAATAATTATCTTAAAAACAAAATTTCAAAATGACGCAATTTTCAGTTTTCTAATAAAATACGAAAACTATTCCCTGAATTTCGATTAATTAATTAATATTTATTATTATTATTATGATTATTATTCCTGTGTCCTATTCATATTATAAGTGTACGTAATGTAACCTATAGAAATGTATATTATTGCCGACTGAAATTTCTTTAGGTCTTTGAGGGCTTAAAAGCCTTGGAAACCGCCCCTCGTAAATTATTTCTATACCGACTCCCGTATTGCCGCTGTGTGTTCGCATATTGTGAGAAATTGTGCCGGCCTTTCTCGTTTTCCACACGCTCCGCTCACCCTCGACTTTCCCGGCTTTTCCCTCCGCCGTCACTGGCTTTGAGCACCCGCACAGACACGAGAGTATCACAAATTTCTTCAAGCGGCAAAAATTAATGGCTCTTTTTCTTTACTCATATATCCACAACAGAAACACCTAAGATATACAATTTTATTGTTTACTAGCTTTAACCTGCGGCTTCTCTCGCGAATATCTAAAATAATGAAGTTGCTTCCGTACGCGTCTGTAGTCACAGAAGAAGTAACAAAGAAGTAGAATGGCGGGAAGTTTAAAATGGCTGAAAGTATAGTCTATGGAAGTATAGTGTACAGTCTCCATAGTGTAGTCAATTGGATTTGATGTTGACGTAGCTGTCGGTAATACAGTGTGATGGTACAGTGTGATGGTACTATAGTACTTAGGTTTGAGCTTCATTGCTGGAATGCTAGATGGCGTTAAAGTAGTCAAATGGCCAGATGCAGAGGTATTATTGGCTAAACTATTTCTTTATTTTATTTTAAAAATATTTATTTTTATTAAATAAAAAGTAGCCTATAACCATTCGGGGACCACTAAGAATATGTGTACAAATTTTCATGATGATCGGTTAAGTAGTTTTTGCGTGAAAGTGTAACAAACATCAGAATTTTCGCATTTATAATATTAGTAGGAATGTGTATAACTGGTTGCCTACATCACGTGTGAGTTTGTGTTGGATGAGATTTAGACACAGCGACGTGTAACGACAGCTTGTTAAAGCACACCGCAGATCACTACGAGTTGTGTTGACAGCGAATACGTTCGTGAGCTTCTGCAAGGGACGCACGTAATTGTAATTTATTCCACGTAGAAGCAAATTCACCTTCCGCACAAAGCAACCGCACAAACATTTATTTAATTTATAAGTAGCGACATCTACACGCATAAAACCCAACACAATATAAGGTTATATTAAAATAAATTACATCGGCGGTCATTTTGTGTTTGTTTTTATGGCGTAATATAAAAAATGAGTGTTTAAAAGTTATTTTTCAAAGTCAGAAGAAAAATAGAAGAATAAATGATGATAGAAAAACCACAAAATTACTTCCGACAAATTAGACTCGATGTGGTGATGAAAAAATCAAACAAAAAACACAATTGTGTCGACGAAATGAAAGCGGAACCGAAATGTACGTTCGGGAATGGCATAACTTTGGTTGGCGCAAATTACGCCGGAACAAAGTGAGCAAATTGAGGCAAGAAATTGAAATGGTAAATGTAACACTTAAAATTTGAATATATCCACGCGGATTCTCGCCTCAATTCAAGTGAATTCACATTTCATGCAAAAATACTCAATTAAAATAATTTAAAATAATATTGAGTGAAGTACAAATTAAAAATACGCATTATTTTAATGATTTCTATGTAATTTTATGTAATTTCACGCTAGGCAACTATACATACACGTAAAACGTATAAAAAGTTGCATAACATGTTTACTTTTTGCGTTCGTTTTTATTTTTCGGCTGTTTTTGGACGCTGGAAGCTGCAGGCTATTCAACTGTTTGTTTTAATGGAAGCAACGGCGTATAAAACTTTTACTAACATGCCCCTCTGTGTGTGAGTGTGTGTGTTTTGTGTTTGCGTATACCTGTAGTTTATTACTGGCCGAGTAGCGGTAGCTGCACGCAGCAAACGCGATGCGATAGTGTCGAGTCGAGTTTAATTAAAATTATTGCCCTTTGTGTGCAACGCATTTTACGCTCGAGTGTAATGCGTTATAGTATTGGATAGGAATATTTTATGTCGGGGTTTATGAGATAAGTTAGTGCAATGTGCATTAAAACAATGTCGCATTTGGTGTTTTTGTTTTTTTGGCATTTTTTTAAACACGATGTGGAAAATGGCCAGTATCTTTGGTAAAAATTGAGGGATTTTGATTGTCTCAACGTTATTTGGTAGATTAAGAGTTTCTTTATGATTTGTGTGAATTTTGATATTTTACATTATGTGGAAATGTCATAAAAAACTCGTTGAAATTTTGTAAATTTCAAAAAATTTAAAATCATAGAGTGGTAAAACACCCTGTAAATTCTATGTCCATGGAGAATTTTCGGTTTTTAACATGTCATTTAACAGATAAAGAGTCCTTTTATGACATACATAACTTTTCTACCCTTTAAACCCTCTCAAAATGCCCTAAAACACCCGTCAAAAATTAATATTTTTCAAAAGTTTTCGAAATTCAAAATCAGAATCAGGAAAAAAACACCCTGTATCTCCTGTCTCAACAAATAATATGACTATTTTAACTCGTCATTTACTAGTTAAAGAGTCCCTTAATGATATCCATACATTTCCCACCCTTTAAACCCTCTAAAAACCCTCTTAAAACACCCACAAAAAACCAAAACATTTCACCTAACTTAATATTAACCAAAACAATGCGTTTCCTCTATTAACCTTAAAAAAAGCTAAAAGGATTAGTAACCTGTCAAAAGGTCGGCCATGATGAAACATGGCGGCCGTAGACAAGGGCGAAAGGTCGCGAGAATTATGAGAAAACCACTGGAAAGCGACAAGAAAATGTTCCAGGGCGCCAGAAAGGCCAGCGAAGGTCGGAAATTCATTATCTTCCAAACAAGGGTTGAATATTTTTTTCCTCTTACTCACTACTAACAAATGACTTGTAATTTTCCCAGCCACAAACATCACAACACTAAATTAAACATCCAACTATTACCATAAAAACATTCATCAAAATTAAAACGAAATTAACTACTAACCACACTGTATATACACAAAGAAAAACTTCATCGTCGGTTTTTATTTTATTCCAGCGTATGAAATGCGTGTTAGATTGTTTTTTTCTCGTTTTTTAATGTCTTCTAACGTTTTTCTAATGCTACCCATGGTTATAGTCCTTTTTCAACCGCTCGTTTCTTATTTTCGCAATGTGGAAACTTGGAAAACGGCTGACGAAACAGAAATAATTTGTGCCCGAGCGTGGAAAACCGCCGTAATTGCCCGAAACTTTCCGAGGGAAAAAATTTAATGGACGCAAACTTTAAATAAAACCCATTTACGCATACAAAACAAAAAAAAACAACGAAAAAAAGTAATAAAAACCAATGAATATAAAGTGAAGTGAAAGTGTCACATGGCAGCCATCTTGAAAATATTTATATTCTCATGCGTCGTGTGATTTCGTGTGTTTATATCGATTGTAATAGCTTTTCGATAATTTACGACAGCGTCATCTATCAACGTCAGGGCGTCACGCGCAGCTTACTTTCCGGTTTTCCTCTTTTTTTTTCTCTCGCTGGGGGATGAATGCTCGTCGTCATTCAATCAGTGATTCCATACGGGGCGTGATCTCGTTAAATGGATCATAGACGGGTCATAACACGCACAGCATCCGGGATTATGGATCAAGAAAAACAAATCACAAATATACCGGAAAAGAAATAAAAAAACAAAAAAATTAAAAAAAAATATTTAAGATAATAAATAATATAAAAAAATAAAATATATATAATATAATGTCTAAAACTATAAATTATTCTATTGTACGTAAATTATACTTCCGGTTACGTTCGTAGTGAAACTAAATTGTCCTGTGACAGGATTGTTCACTAGGAATGCGGCAGACGTCTAGGATTTATCGCTGGCAAGGAAATTAAACCAAACTAGAGCTAGGCATACCCAAACCGGAAACCGGAAAACCGGAAAACAAGATTAAAAACTATTTTTAACTAAAATAAATTAAATTTAAACATTTTTGACAATTTATAAAAATTTCCCAAACCGGAAGTGAATGTTTTTAATGGTTACACACTGTATATCACATTACACTCGCTCGATTTTAATAATCCACGCGCAACGGGCCGCGAGATTGTCGAGCACTTTATTTATGACGCATTAACGAGCCCATAAACAATGAAATAAACATTATATCGTCCACACACGCCTTGCAGACCCTTAAAACCTAAAAATAGTTATTTTTAACCGCAATAAACAATAAAAAAAACATCTCAACATCCAACTACACAACTAAATCCAATCCTGTTTGTTTATGTTTACTCCACACTCAGTTACCAACTAGTATTAATTGATAAATCATAAACAAATGAGTGTTTTGCGTTTGGTGATAGGCAACAACACACACACACACATCGAAGGTTATCGGCCATCTTCGCACATCGCCACAGCCGATGACATCAGCATATTTACACACATGGACGCACACCAGCGCGCCATTTTGTGTAATCATAATCTCATTATATTAAATTTGCTCACACACGCTTAGTTTTCACAGCGCGCGCACAAGTTTACACACGCAATTGCAGCGGTGAGTCGAAAAAAACCTCGGAAATATAATTAACCTATAAACAGATTACAGATTAACGCACAGAAGCACCTACTACCGTTGAGATAATTTTTTATAACCTCAAAATACGTAAATAACCTCAAAAAAGACAAAAAAATTAATAAATCACTTTAAAATCGTTAATTAACAACAAAATGTGTCTGATAATAGGGCATTGTACGCTGTAAATATTAAGACAAAAGATAAAAATGTATACTTTATATACAAAGTGTTCAAAACATCAAAAATGTAAATTTTTTATTTTTTGTTGCAGATTTTCGGGAAACACCCTGTGTATCCACCTCAACAACATCTAAAAATAATCATGTGTAATGTTTAATGTAATATTCACCGTAATCTCATAATTATTGAATAATTTTAAGTGATTTTGTGATAATTGTACAGTGACGCCATCTAGCGGAATTTCCGTGGAGTTTTCTAATATTTACCGTGAAAATTGTGGAAAAACACACACGGGCGACGCGAGTCGAAGAGAATATTAAGCAAACAAGAGTTTTGAGTGAGATTAACACAGATTCGCGTTTGTTTACGCGCGCGCCGCGCGCCGCCAAGAGATAAGAGGAATAAAATTTGCGCCACACATGCGATGATAACTCCGACGACATTCGGCTAATTATAGTCGCTGCGATGCGATAACGTGTGTGTGTCCGGCGCCATTTTATTACCGCTGTAAGAAAATAGGCGAAAACTTTGCATCTTGCTGCTTAAAATGTGACTATACAGTGTGTCAGTGTATTTAATAAATATTTGTGTATACAGTGTGTTTATATAAAAAATTAGTGTTCGGTAATATTAATATTCAAAATGGATCTGGATGAAGAGGAGTTTTTAAGACAACATGCATCGTTGTCAAAAGCGGAATTACGCGAGGAGTTGTTGGCGTTAATGGCGAATTTGACACTTGCACCGGATGAGGAAGTGTCGACGTTGGGTGAACAGGCGTGTCATCAAAGATGGGCGAATGAAACGACAGTGTTTAATGATGCGCATGTGTCAATTTGCTCCACCCACTATGATTCTGTCATTTGCTGGCCGCCCACGCCGGTGAATTCCACTGCGGTTGTCAAATGCTTCGCGGAGTTGAATGGCATACGATATGATGATACAAGTAAGTTTTTTTTTGCTTTTTTATTCATTTTGATGAAGTTTATGGATACACCCTGTATATTTCTGTATTTGTATATTATTGATTTGTTTTCAATTGTTATTTAAACCCGGGTGTTATGCAAGGATTAAAATCCTTGAGATGTGTGGGGTGTTATGCTGGAAAATCTCCGAGGAATATTTAGTGTAAGCTTCTTCAAGGATAACAGAAGGATTATTGTAGTTTTAGGTTAGATTAGTTTTGGAATTGTTGAAATTAGAGGGTTGGGGAGGTAAAATTGGTTTTGAATTGATTATTTGGTAAATTTGAGTAAATTTTGAGGTATTTTTTGATGTAGCTGTCAAAATACATAACCTTGTTGATGTTGAGTTAGAGGTTATGTTGTAAAACGTCAAAATCATGTGATATTGCAGTAAAATCAACATAAAAGTGAATTTTTATTGATTTTTATTGTTTTATTTGCTACTAGCTTTAACCCTTGGCTTCGCTCGCGAATATCTAAAATAATGAAGTTGCTTCCGTACGCGTCTGTAGTCACAGAAGAAGTAACAATGAAGTAGAATGGCGGGAAGTTTAAAATGGCTGAAAGTATAGTCTATGGAAGTATAGTGTACAGTCTCCATAGTGTAGTCAATTGGATTTGATGTTGACGTAGCTGTCGGTAATACAGTGTGATAATACAGTGTGATGGTACTATAGTACTTAGGTTTGAGCTTCATTGCTGGAATGCTAGATGGCGTTAAAGTAGTCAAATAGCCAGATGCAGAGGTATTATTGGCTAAAAAATTTCTTTATTTTATTTAAAAATTAATTTTTTTTATTAAATAAAAAGTAGCCTATAACCATTCGGGGACCACTATGAATATGTGTTCAAATTTTCATGATGATCGGTTATGTAGTTTTTGCGTGAAAGTGTAACAAACATCAGGACTTTCGCATTTATAATATTAGTAGGGATTAGTAGGGATTTGATATTGTAGGCTTAAAACGTTGGTATCTTAACAATTTTGATGATTTATTATCATTTTGTTGTGTTATCCTTGAAGAGGAATACAAAAAACACGAATTTAGTGTGAAATTAGCTTTAGAAATGTCAAAGTTTCAAGAAAATTGACTGAAAATGTGATTTTCAATTAACTATTAACTAAATTTGATTAATTTTTGAACTGTTTTCTAACCTAGCTGTCAATTGTCATAACCTCAATGTCAAAACACAACAAATTTTGACATTTCGTTATAGGTTATGTTTCAAAACGTCAAAATTATTTCAATTGCACTGAAATCGAACCAAAAAATAAATTTTGATTGATTTTAGTTGATTTATTTGGTACTGCAAACCTGAAACAGTAGTTTTTTCACCATTTGGTAACAGTATTATCCGTTTATCATGTTATCCTTGAACCGGAATGCAATAACACGAACCGAGCGCTAACTTATTGCCGGAAATAAAATTGATGACGCTTTTTCGGCGCGCAGTGTCAAGGACCGTACGTTGTACGTTGCACGTTGAAATAATGCACTAAAGTTCTGCTGCATCCTTCGATGTGCGCTGATACTTCCGGGAAGCCATTACGAAATGGACGGATAACAGCGCACGTACAAAATAAATATGAACATGAAAAATTATTCAAGTTTGCCACTTGCGATGCGATAGTAAATCATTTATCACAATTTGTATTTGTTTTTTGTTTGTTTTTCTATAAATATAAATGCTGTGCCATTTTGTTTGGCGACACGTGTCGCGTGACGTCATTTGCACTTAGCTAATCGAGGTAAAGAGGAGAAAAAACAAGTTTATTAGTTTTCTTTAATTAGCTGACGCTAACGGATTAAATGGCGTGGTCATTGATCATTTCCTAATTTAGTAGAAACCGGAAGTTGATGTGGGAAGTATCAAGTTACGTCTTGGACGTGGTTACTGCGGGTGGGTTACTATAATAGTAGAAATAAAAGTAATGTACGTATAACGGGAAGCATAAAAACAGAAATTAAACTTTAAACGCCATTATCTAGAAAACTATTGGGCCAATTAACTTGAAATTTTGTGTAATTATTAATAATTAGAGTATAAATAATATAGTAAAAGAATTTTTAATTTTTAACAAATAGTTTTTAAATAATTAAAGAAAAAACATTTTAAAAATATAAAAATATAATCAGATATTGTTTGAACGCCATTATCTGGAAAACTATTGGACCAATTAACTTGAAATTTGGTGTGATGATTAATAATTAAAGTGGAAATAATTTAGTCGAAGAATTTTTAATTTATAGCAAATAGTTTTTAATTAATAAAGAAAAAACTTTAAAAAATACTAAAAACTAATAATTTATTGTTTAAACGCAATTTTCTCGAAAACTATTGGACCCATTAACTTGAAATATGGTGTGAATATTAATAATTAAAGTAGAAATTATTTAGTGAAAGAATTTTTCATTTATAACTAATAGTTTTTATATAATGAAGAAAAAACTAAAAAAAAAATTAAAAATTAATCAGTTTTTATTTAAACGTCATTTTCTCGAAAACTATTGAAACAATAACCTTGAAATTTGGTACAGTTATTAACAATTAATCTATAAACAAATTCCGAAAAGATTTCTAATTTATCTCTAATAGTTTTTAATTAATTTTAAAAAACTAAACAATTTTACAGAAAAATATAATCAGTTGTTGTTTCAGGTCTTTGTAACTTCATTTTAACGATCTTTAAAGACTAATTTACGACTTTCATGAAATTATCTCCTGCACAATGTTTGCCAATGTGTTTGACTTGGAAGACAAAACGCGAACGCGATAAATTTCACTTCAAACGCACTCGTATAATGCCAATAGCGATCGAAGTCGAATAAACGGCAGTAAAACCGGTTGATTTCATCCGTACGCTCGCAAGAATAATAAATACGGACGAAACTGACGAGAAAGTAATGAAAACCAAACGAGCAAACGACCGAAACAAAACAAAAAAAGAAAAAATACAATTAGGTTACAAAAAAAAAATACAAAAATCCAGAAATGTTGTCCGAAATATAAAAACGTATCCAACAGTAAAGAATTCCGTTAACCAAATGTACTTTGATAAAGTTTTGCATCCTTACGAGCAAGGAGCAAGGACTAGAGATCGAGATATAGCCGTGAGCAGAATTGGAACGCAACCAGTTATACACATTCAGTCGCCGCCCATGCGCCGCCATTGCATACGCTACATTAACTTGTTTCCTGCTTCCTGCTTTCCACGAATCTTCGGCGAGCACCCAGGAACCCCGAAACTTTACAATCGCAAGCAAATAATCAAGTTGAACATTGTTACAAGTAAAATAAAAACCCGTCGACTGTATTTCAGGTTAGAATATTTATGATGTGAATAGTTGGCATAATTTTATAAGGATTTTAATTAAAAATACGTTGCAGTAGACGCCAAATATTCGCGCAGGGAATTCAGAATTTAGAAATTCACGAAATGTGTGGCGGCGTCGCTTTTATTACACCCGGAATTATTTGCATGCAATTTATGAAATGGTGAAATAAAATGCGGAAAACCGGAAAAAGAAATCTGAAACCAACTTTTATCAAATTGCTGTGGAATAATCATTAAAAAAGTAATAAAATCAAAATAAACGCCATTAAATCCCGTAATAAACAAAAAAAATGATAAGAAATGATAACAGAATAAATAATAAACATAATTATGAAAGAATCATCAAAATCCATTGAATAGTTTCCGAGATATTCGCGTTTAAAGTTTTATTTGTGACATTATTTGACATTAACTGTATGCAACCCTAAAGTCATCTATAAATCACGTAGCGTATGATTTTGCATGAACTCTGAATTCATCCCACGTCCGCGCGTGGCGTGTTAATCTCCTGCAACGTGTCCTTATGCACTTCAATAAATTCCTCGGCGCATCTGCACCATACGCCCATTATTTCCAGATGCAACTTGTTCGCCGGATTTGCATTAAATAAAGCTTTACAATTTATCCGTCTTGTATGCGCGCTCACATGCGTGATGTGTTGCTGAATCAGCCCGGGCGGAGGATTGTGCACGCTGGGTTGCATACTAACTATACACGCTTCGCGGACGCAAATTGCGATTTGGCTTTGTGCTTTGAGCTTGCAGCTTTGCGGTGGAGTGCAAATTCAAAGATGGCCGCCCCGGATACACATACATTGATTTCTAGTGGTTTTTCACGTTTTGTGGACTTTTGCGTGTTGATTTCAGGTGTGTAAACATTCCACTCAACAGCAACTGAATTATGCACACAGTGAGGGTTGAATTCAACCCTGTTCAGGGGTGGAAATTGTAACAACCTGTTGCTGGCGGCTTTCCACACGCAACAGACGCGTATTTTGCAATAAATGAAAATTCTAAAACCTAGAAATCATTTTTACATTTTTAGTTTAATTTTGATGAAAATTTAATTTGATTTTCTACTGGAGTCTGGGACTTAATTGATTCATCCTCGCAGAACAACAAATTTTAATTAAAACAAAACACTCGACCGCACACCGCAATGAAACTTTTCCCGTGCTACAAATGAGGAAATTGAGTTAATCGAACGCGGGAGCTCCGCCCAACGCCCCCTAACCTCACACCACGCCTACTAAATTACAACCAATGAGAGAATATAACCTGTAAACTTGAACACAGTGTGTGAAAAGTTAAACAAACCGTTCACAATTTAACAATGTTGCCAAAGTACACAATAACTTAAACTTTCGCAACAAAGTTTCCGGTTTTCAACATGCTCCTTTGTCCTTTGGTCCTTTTAGTTCAATTTTAGTCATTTTAAACACATTTTACAAACGCAAAAATAAATAATAATTTTGTGTTTAAAATTAAAACACACGTTTTAATGAAAATTGTTGTCTGAAACTTTTTTTTATTATCCTGTTAATCCTGTTTCGTCCTGACGCTGCTAAACGGGTTAAACTCTTTCCGAAAGCAATTTGCGAAAGTAATTTAAACTTACCGGATGAAATATGAGCACCCGTTTTTG